TTAGAGGTGCTGGTGTGCAGTCATCGGCCTGGTATCTGGGGTCTATGCTGGTGTATTTAGTTATCATTATTATTATTATTGCTATTATCTCTCTCGCTCTCTCCCTCCCTCCCTCCCTCCTTCCCCCTCCCTCCACGACAGTGAGCACATGCAAAAGACTCGTGGCGGCGCAGAGTCTTCGAGGGCCGACGCGCCGAAAGGCCGCGGCGGGTTCACCTCTGGACGGTTGCGCAAGCGGGAAAAAAAAAGGCGTCCAACCAGGAGCGCCTTACAAACAGATCGGCCGACGTTCCCCCGAAACTCCGCAGAGGCTCAGAGGCAAACTCGCGCGAGCGACCTGAAACGCGCAAAAAAGAAAAGCACGTTGTCGCCCCCTCGGAGCAGGCCTCCGAGAAATTCCATCAGGCGTCGCGACCTGCCAGCACGCATGCGGCACGCGAGGTTTTCTGCGGCACGCTCCCGCGTTTTCCGGCATTTTCTTGGCTTCTTCATGCGTGCAAATAGTCTTAAACGATGATGCGCTTGTACATGAATTCTTACAGACAGCCTCAGTTCGAAGTTCCTTCTAAACTTCCTTTGATAACCCTTTGGTACACGTGGTCGGTTCCACCATGGAAGCCCTCGAAGCATGATGCTCAAATTTTTGCGGTGGTTTTGTGCGGCAGGCTTGGTGCAGACAGCAATGCTCAAGTTGGATCCTCGGTACTCGCAAACCTTGACGAAGACCACAACATGGATGGAGGACCACGACAAATCCCGGATTCTTGCGAGCTAAGCAGGATCTCCGGTCCGGGTGGCGGTGAAGGGCCAAGGCGAAGTGCACTTGGGTATGTGTCAAAATGCGGACCCCCCTCAAAATTGTGGCTTACCTATTACATCCGTTTGGTTTCCCTTTACAGCAACCTGAAAAGACACACACACACACACCCACTGGATGTTTCACAATGTCTTTTCTCTGCATGCATGTTTGGAAGCAACCAAACATGGCTGCGGATGCGTCGGCTTGGGAGTCAGTGGGCCCATTGCTGTGCAGTGTACAGATTTCTCTTGCAGAAACAGATGCCCAATGGAACTGACTCCGTGCGTGAGACAGCTCACGTGAAAAAGCGCATCTTGAGACCCCTGCCAAATGCCCCTGCCAAATGAAAATGTCATGTTGGTTTCAAGAGGGCCCCCTCCTTTCAGGGGCAGGTGGCTGACCTGCAGATGATGCGGGTGATGTCTGAACAAGAGACTTTCGTGGTTTCCAGCAGGAACAAGAGCCTTTCCGCAAAAGTTTGGGTGTCTTTTCCATCGTGCCTCTTTTTGCTTTTTCTGGGTCTGCAAAAAGACGACTATTTCTCCGCCGTTCTTTTTGTTTACTGGCTTCTCCTTGCTTGCTTACTGCTTGCGTGTTTGCCTCGGGGATGCTAGGAATGCTGGGGATGCTGGGAGTGCTGGTGCTCTCGTGTCCCATCAACTTGGTGTGGATTCTGGGATGCTGGGGATGCTGGGGATGTTGTTCGAGGAGCCTGTGTCGAGGTGCTCTTTTGGACTGATTCGAGCTGTTTCCTGGCGTGTCCACGGATCCTTTTTCCATGTGAGCAATTTTGTTTTTCGGCGTTTGGGCTTCAAAAAGACGGCTAAATGCGTGCTTTTGGTACAACCTGTTGCTTGCAGACGCCACTTCTTGAAGGTAACTTTGGAGTCTGTCGCCTTTCAGTTTTTTGGTAGTGGTTTCCATTCGTTACCTACAAACAAGAGGTAATTGAAAACACTGGGCGAGGCCATCAAATGTTGGAACACCTTGAAATGCCCTTACACCTTGATTGCAAGCCAAACACAATCCCAAATCAATCCAAACACAAACCAAAAGCAAACCAAAGGCAAACCAAAAGCAAACCACAGGCAAACCAAAGATAAACAAAAAGCAAACCAAAAGTAAACCAACAGCAAACCAAAAGTAAACCAAAAGTATACCAGAAGCAAGGCAAAGGCGAATCAAAGGTAAGCGAAAGCAAGCCAAAAGCAAACCACAGGCAAACCAAAGGTAAACAAAAAGCAAACCAAAAGTAAGCCAAAAGTAAACCAACAGCAAACCAAAAGCGAACCAAAAGGTGAATCAGTAGCAAACCAAAGGCGAACCAATAGCAAACCAAAGGCAAACCAATAGCAAACCAAAGGCAAACACAAACTGGCCAGTAACTGCTCCAGTCTCAATGTCTCACTTGTCTGACCAGCATTGTGTTTTTCTCTCGCCCCCAGTTCTCACTTGCTTCACTTGTCTCACTTGTCTCAATGTCTCACCGGCACCTTTTTTGTCATTACCTCACTCCCGAAGATCATGGAGCCAGGAGCCAGCGTCTGCATTTTCTTGTCACGCTGACCAAACGTAGTGCCTGTCATGTGGTCCGGACCGAGGGCTCAGATTGGTTTGTGGGGGTCGGATTGAGGGGGCGTCGGATTGGTTTGGGATGTTGAGGCAATTGAGGTTGACCGAAGAAAATAAAATGTAGAAAAAGCCAAGACAGTGCGTGTGTCCTGGGAAGACTTGAACATAGTGTGGAGAAAACATATTACATGCGAACGTGCAAGAACGCAAAAGAAAGAAAGCTGGCAGCGGGGCTTGTTCTGAGTGCTTGTAGCGCTTGCTGTGTCCATGGAAGTTGCGCTTTAGAAAGCACCTTTGCGAGTTTCTTGGCGGAGGCGAATGGTTTTGCGGAGTCGGGCCTTGGGGCGGAGTCGTGACGGTTTTGACGCCTCTGGAGCTGGAAACGAGTTGAGTCGACAAGCCAAATGTTGTCGCAGTATGTGGCACATGTTTCGTTCTTAACAGAAATCCGGGAATGGTTTCGTAGGTGCGTTGTCGGCGTTGTCGGCGCGCGGATGCGTCGATGAAGTCTTACTTGTTTTCTGGAACAGCAGTGTTGCAGCGAGCGTGTAAGGCTTCCGGCTGGCGCGGTGGCCGATGGCGAAAGACGAAAAAGAATAGATCGATGGAAGCCATTCACATTTGTTTGCAAGTTGGGCACGGCTGAGTCGTTTGCGGTGCGAGTACAGTTTGGGCACCGCGGAAGTAGGTGGCTGAAGAACGCAGGCGTTGGCTTGGACTTGCGCACGGTTTTTCGTCGCTTGAGGGAAGCCAGAGATTGATTGAGCCGCTGGAGTTTTTTTCGTCGTTGGCGCGCGCGCCGCATGTGCCGTGCGTTCCGGCGCTTGCTTCAAGAACGGGCAAAACCCGATCGATCGCGCGCTGTGGCTTAGAGTTTAAGGTGTGTTTTTTTTGAGCGCGCTTGCAGTCCGACGTGCCAGTGGCAACGGCAAGTGAATAGTCGGGCCTACCGCATTTTTCAGGCCGTTTGGCGGTCCGACTGCCTTTAGTTCCACGCATGTAGCTGGTTGATCTGAAACAAGCCAGGCGCGGTGGCTGCAAGGTTTCGCGGGTTGTGGCTGAAACAGCAGATGTGTGTCGAAATCGTTTTGTTTTGAGACCCGACAAACCAATCTGACCCTCCACAAACCAATCCGACCCTCACAAACCAATCCGACCCCTCACACCGACCAATCTGAACAGCCACAAACCATTTCGAACCCCACAAACCAATCCGACCCCTTCCACAAACCAGATTGAACCTAGCCCTGCGCCATTGTATGCTTTGGCACTATGCTTGAAGGCCCAGGCACAAACTGGAGTTTGGCATTTCGCCCCGCGATCGGTCATAACCGTCATGGTTCCGAAGACGTCCGAGACAACGCAAGTGCGAAACTGGCAGCTCTTTTTGTAGCGTGTGAAAAAGTGATGTGCTTTCGGGTTCGTGGGTTCTATCTTGTTTCATGTCCATGTTAGAGTGGCTTGGGCTGGGTCTGGGGTGGGCTTGGGGTGGGTTTTTGGTTGGGTTCAGGGTGGGTTTGATTGAAGCGGGCTTAAAATGCGTTCACGGCTGGCTTAGGATGCATTGGGGTAGGTTTAGGGTAGGTTTAGGTGGGTTCAGGGTGGGTTTAGGTTAGGGCGCGTTTGGAATGAATTTAAGATTCAAAGAAACAAATCAAAATTGTGCAGCAACGGCTATGTTGAGATGCGTTGTACAACAAAGCTATGTTGTCATGTGCTGCGCCGCAAAGTATGTTGAGATGTGCTGTGAAGCAAGGGTACGATGACATGTGCTGTGCAGCAAAGCTGGCGTTTTTGAGCTAGAGCCCTTACGCTCTTAGGAAAAACAGCACTGATCCCCAAGAGGCAAAGGGGTAATCAAGGGCCGTGGTTCTGAAGACTCAAGTTCCTTAGGTTTGGCGTGGCGGAAGCCTCAAACATGGGGGCAATGTGTGCGATTCCCGATCGGACCCCAGCGGCGCATGAAGCTCTTGGTCAGGGGCAGCTTCGGTAGCCGCCGATTCTCTGATTTGGTGCGCCAGGATTTCGAGTGTTTTGTTTTTTGTTCAGAACCGGTGTTTTGAAAGGGGTACCATGGTGGAACCCATTTCTTTTTTGGGCGGGGGGGAATTTGCCCACTTTGAAGCAAACGCATGAGCATGGCACACACACACACACGGAACTGCGGCCGACGCCAGCTTTGCACGCTCGCTGCCTCGCATCAACATCTCCGCAGCCATGAGAGTTGCGAATGCCGGGCGACAAAAGTGTACCCAAACGTTTGGTGGACAGAAAACTCTACCTACATGACGTCCAGCAAAGGTCGCCAACCAAAACGCATACAGGGCCGCTTTGAATTGTTTCAAGTCTCTGTAAGTCGCTTTGTGGTTTTGTTTGACATCACGTTTTCGGCAAATTTTCTTTTGACGCTTTGGATATCTTGTTCAGGCCAAACGAAAGTCTGCAGGAGCGGCAAACATTGGTCCAGATCTGGTTGTTCCAAGTTTTTCCCCCTTCTTTGCGTGTGGCCCGTTTGATTCTCCTGCCGTATCACGACATTTGCACGAATTCTACGGTATTCTCTGGTTGGATTCTTTGCCATTTTCACCCGGGCTGTAGCCTGGATCCCCAGTCTTCCCTTTTCACGCATCATGCTTTTAATGAACCTCCCAATTCCTTGGCTGAAGAGCTAGTTGGGCTTCGAATTCGTCGGCTGCAACGAGCGAGCGAGCGAGCGAGCCATGTCTGCTTCCCCCATCAGACGCTCGGAGAAAAAATAAACAAAAAAACACGTCGACGTGGTTTTCCTTGGGAGTGGGGTCTTCATTCATAATTTTGCGGTCTTGCCCCTCAGAATCTTTGGGAATCATCATAGGCCAGCTTTCCTTTCGTTCCTTGGGGTTTCCAAACCGTCCTCTTTGGTTTCAATTGTTTCCCTTCTGGCGCGAGGAGCCAGAGAGGAAATCGAAGGACTCTTGACCCCCTATTGTGTCTCTCGGCATCCGTTGATTGAACTTGACAATTTGGGTTCTGCCTTCAGAATTTAACATGGGTGTGTCTTTCTCGAGGACAAATTGGGCTTGAAGGGACACCAAATCGAAACAGAGCATTTCGGGGCCTCCTTTCTATTAACACCGAACCCCAAAAGAGAGCTCCCCAACAAGAGCCTTCTCCACATTTTCTTGGGATTTCCATGTCAGTTGCAGCAGAGTATGTTATATTTTACGTTGGGGTCAAGGACATGTTTCACTGGATCAACCACTCGACCACTCCAATCGCGCCGTCTGACCGATTATCAATGCAAACCTGAGGTCAGATCATCGCGGTGAGCATCACACTGGGCTTGTTCGCCGCTTGGCTTTTCTCCTTTCTGGTTCAGGCGATTTCGGCTTTTCCAAGGATGTTTAAGTCACCCAAACAGAGAACTCAATCAGCCCCAAGCGACTTCAGGAAAACATGTTACCAAAGTACTCCCACCAACTGTGATAGGCTACACATTCTTTTCGCAGGCCTCCTGAAAACAGTTCCTGTGGACCTCCATGTTTGGGATCTTGTTGGTTTTGAGCTGGGAATGACCCCCCGAAATCGCAAGTTCTTGCCGCCGGTGCGAAATATTGGGGCGGTTGTTGAAATTTCGGTGGAGTGGGTATTCTTTTTGAAATCAAGTTGGCCATGGGTCAAAATCCCGGTTATCCTCCAGTGAACATCCCAACCCCCACTAAAATCGACTAAAATGGGTGGTGCAACCTACCCCAAAATGGCATCCCAAAACGGTTTTGACCCACAGCCAGTTGTCGGGAAACCTTGGCCATCTTGTCCGGAGCTCGCATCCATGTCCAAAGCTCTGCGATGTGAATGCTCAAGAATCCCCACCGAATTCTGATGTCCACCACAAGGTCCAACCAAGTAAGATTCCAAGATTACCACTATTCTTTGTTTCCACACTTGGATTTCCATCTCGCTGCATCCCAGCTTCTTCTTTCGGAGTTCGCCCTCACTTCCCGGCGCTGGGGGGGTTCGAGCGTTCCAGGCGGCGATCTGGGGCATCCTGCGGCCCCGCGGCCTGTGCCCGGGCAGAAAATCGGCTCGGTGGCCTCCGTTGTGGGATCCAAAAACAAACAAAAGGCCAAAAAAAGCCTCGAAAACGGTGGGGAAGTTCATGGCCAACTTTGGTGCCCAGCTTCTTTCTTCTTTTTTTTTGCCTTGGAAGGGTGGTGCTTCACTGGCGCTTTGCTCCGGGCGAATTTTTTGAAAACCCAACAGGAGGTTCCCCCAAACCCTGGCACGGTGGCATACCCATTCAGTTGCAGGAGCCGGGACCGCCTCCTCCGGAGTGCTAGGTGGACCCTTCTTGACCCTTATGCGCTGGATTTCTGAGAGCCCTTGTGCTTCTTTGTTTTTGTTTTTTTGGTGTGCGTATTTTTTCCGAGGGCACCCAAAATGGGACATGGTGTTGCAATACCTTTTTTTCCCCTTGTTTTTGCGAGGGCACCCCACCACATGGTGTTACAACAGGATGCCATGTTTCCAAGTGGCGGTCTCCTCTGGCTATCCTTTCAACGGACGCCGCTGGATTGATGTTGTTTTTGGTATGGGTGTGGGCCCTACTTTGGCAAAAGGCACAGCGCGGTTTTCCTCCTTCTTGGTTTCCCTTTCTCAGGCAGGCAATGAGGGAATGATGGCTTCCCTTTTTGTAAAGTTCATTCCCCAAACTAGTGGGGGCTGGGGGAGGGAGGGGAGGGGGAGGGAGCCCAAACAAACCCTTATTAAGGCCTTATATAGGGTTTACTTGGGCTCCCCCCCCCCCAGCCCCCATGAACAACTCCTCACGTGATTCTCTCCCATTGAACCGAGATGAACTGGAGTTTCGCTCTCAGAATGGGGAAAACTCTCAAAACCGTCCGCCAGAATGCACACACACACACACACGGTTAGCGTACTCGCAAATTCGTCCCCAGCAACGGGAGCCCAACAAAACTAAGACACACGGAACTTGGTGGCTCCCAGCCATCCCCCCTTAGCTTTTTAGCCTTTTGGTGTTTAGTGGTTTCCATTTAACCCACTAGCAGTGATTCACTTTTGGCGGGTGATCTGCGGGCAGCCCAGAAATGGAACTGTTGGGTAAACTAAGACACAGGCACGTCCCAAAATGGGAGCCTCCATCACGTCTCTCCGCATACGAACGGAGCTCCGCGAGCTCAGGCGGGTGGTGCTGAGCGCCTCCTTCTTCGTGGCCTTCCTCGTGGCCACGCAGCTCTCGGTGCCGCTCGGCGCTTTGGGCGATGCGGCGCTTTGGGGCGTCGGGGCTTTGGGCGCGGTGTTTGAACGGGGGTGGCTGGGGGACTTGGTGCTTTTGGAGTGAAACATGGGTGGCTGGGGGTAAAAACCGAAATGGTGTTTGAGGTATGTTGGGGAGTCTCCTTGGCGAACGAGATGTTTTTTGTTTTTGTTTTGGCGAGTGTCGGAAGACTTTTATATTTCTGCTGAACTGGGGGTAGGTTTGCGAACTGGGGGCTTCGCAAAAGAGGCCCCCCAAAATAACATGAAATAAATACAGCAAAAAAGAAACAATGGTGGGTTTTCCTTTGGTCTCCATTAGGAAAGAAAACGGTATCCGCAAAAAAACAACAACTCCCACCACCCATTTGACTATTGTTTGCCGATTTTTTTGGGAAGGGCGTGACCTTTTTCTGATGCAGGTGCCTCCGGGAGGATGGACCACTCGAAAGAGGGAGTGACCTTTAGAGGGCATTTTTGTCATCGTGTGTGTGTGTGACTTCTTTGGGGCTTTGAGAAAACTGACAAAGACATCCTCCGGGTGCCTGAAGCAAACCTGCATGTTTCGGGTATTTTATTGGTGTTGCCTCTAACCTGGAGAACCTTTTGGGCAACGGCGATTGCCCGAAGAGCCAGCAAAATATGCCAGAATCTTTTCATGGAAACCCCAACTCACCCACTGTCAACAGTTGGGCGTGCCAAGAATTCAACCAAGACACATCCACATGATGAGCGTTTTGATTTTTCTGGATAGGAACTTCCACCCGGCGAAAGCCGCTGGCCGTCGGAAGCCGCTCGCTGAGGAAGCTGGTGGAGAGCCCACCCTACAACTGGAAGCGGGAAGCCTCAGGACCTGGGGAAAGAGGAAAAGAGAGAATTGAGACCAGGAGGAAGCAAGACATGTTTTTTTTGTTGGGAAACCATTATTTTGAGAGGGGTGTCCATTCGCTTTTTTTTTTGGAGCAAGACAGCTTGGGACCCTTGGCAATATTTTGAGAAGGGTTTCCATTCACATTTGTTTGGAGTTCAACAGCTCTGCAGAATTGAAGCGGGGCCTTTGAGCCAGCTTCTTTGCGGCAAGTGCGTTTGGGAGCTCTTGCCTGAACAAAGACACCATCATTCTGACCAGGGCCCGCCAACATGCTTGGACGCTTTCCCGAAATGTTCCTCCCATTAGAAACACAGAACTACTCCCACTCAAAGACAAGCCTGGCGACTCTTCAGTGTGGACCCCGGCCAACGGTCTTACATCTTCACTCCCAGGCTGGGTGGTTGCTGAAGTGACTGAGTCTCTCCTGTGAATGACGTTCTTTCAAAAGGTCCCTTGTCATCTTTGCAAGGCGACTCCGGTTCTGGAGATGGCAAGTACCCTGTCTTAAACTAAGCAAAGCCAAGAACGCGCCAAAGTTAGATTTCCCATTGGTTTCCCTAAACACAGGCTTCCGTTTCCCTGTAGAGCAAGAAAAAGGTGGAGGCTACAAGGCAGTTATGTTTTCAACAAATGCGCAAATACTGACAGATTGACATGACTCCCGTGCAGATCAACATGGAAGCCGCGCCAAGACATGTTTCTAGCGGAAGCTTTCTTTCGCGGAAGGAACAGCCCGTTTTGGATTTCATGTTGCTGAGCAAAGCCAAAGTTCGATTCCAGGCTTCCCCTTGGCAGATTTCTTGGGACTCCAGCGCTCTGGAGGGTCAGGGGAAGGGATTGTCTCAAATCGGTTCATCAAAGTGCCCCAAGAGAAAGGGTCTGAAGCCAGGGAGGGCAGGATGTTTTTTTTTCTCTTTTTTTTTGCGTTTTTGCTGGCTGGCAGCGTTTTTTTGTTTGTTTTGCGTCCTTGTCTCGACCAAGCGCAGATTCTTACCGAACCAGATCGACACTTCCCCCCCGGGCTTTTCGGTGGAATGCCGAGTAGACGCCCGCGGGGTCTTTTTTTTGTTTGTTTGGGTTTCGGGTTAATGTTAACCCCGGCCCTTTTGGTGACGATTCGGACCAGGGTCTACTTAGATCCTGGGTCAACATTAACCCAAAACCCAAAACCATTATTAGGGTGTGTTCCCTCCAAAAGTAATGAATCCCCAAAAAGGGGACACCCCCCTATTGATCAACCAGGGGTCCATTGATCCTGGGTCAACATTAGGTACCCAGGGCTCCTCACCACGCTCCACTTCTCCTGTGTGGTGGTCGCCTGCGCCCTGCCCCTTGGCCCAAGTCGGCGCAGACCGCAGTCTGGCGTGGCGCTGTTTTGTGTTTCTCTGAGGTGTTTTCTTTTTTGGAAGCTTTGAGGTGTTTTTGTGGTCGGCATTTGTTGAGGTGCTGTTGTGGGAGCTCTGCAGGCCTTTCTGAAATTGGTTAGGCATGTTTTGAGGGTTTGTCTTCTTTTTGGTTGCCCCCACAAAAGGTCCCCCACCTCCCGCAGAACAGAGACAAAATGATTCCCGATGTGGGTGTATCTTTGTTTTGGGTAGCTTTTTGAGGATATTGGTTTGAAGGGGGCCACATGTGAAACACCCATTTTGGGGGTTGCTTTTTAGACACACACACACACACGCATGTATGAACTGCGTGTTTTCTTTGCCGCATCACAATGTTTCTAGAGCATGGATCGTGACAACAATTAGTTCCCAAAATCATTCGTTTACACATTATTTTCCAGGTACATTTCTCCACATTTTCTCATTATTTTCAAGTTCCCTTGTTGTCATTTCCACTATATTTCCCTTTTTGGTTTTTCGGGCAACAAATATGATTTTCCCACACGGCGACCTCCAAACTGGCGATTTTTCAGCTGTCCCGTTTTAGCTGCAGGTGGGTTTGGTGCAGTTGGAGTAATCCTCAAGCACAGTTGTGCGGAAAGGACAAATCCGTGAATATCACAGATGGAGTTGTGGTTAGAATCAAGGTTTCGCTGGAAAGTCAAGGTTTGGGTGGATTCCGATGGATTTGTTTTGGCAAAAAAACCAATGGTCCCTGACTTCCCAACATTTGATATGTATCATGTTTCCTTGTTAATACTCATCACTGAGTATATATATATATTGTTATTTGTTATGGAGGGAATGTTTTGGATTATCTATATAGTATTGTCTATGACAGTGACACAAGGTTCATAAAAATAGAAATAGTGTAGAAATGAGATAAGCTGGACAAGATAAGATAGATAGTGATGACTAAAGAGACAAACCGAGATAGCCATGAGCTATGATATAATGTAGAATTATTCCTCGCATTTGATGAAGTTTGTGTAGTGTTTTCCAGAGTTGGCTTGTAATAGAGATAAGATCCTATATCCCGTTCGCCTTCCTACTTCCCTTTATTCATCGTAGATAATAAGCTTCAGAGACTTGGATCTGTAGAAACATCGATCAATCAACGTCACCAAGACACCTCTGCTGATATTTGCTATTTGTTCACCGTTTTTTGTCATTGCCATCGATCCATGAACAAGAAATCAAGACACCTAACCTCTGGTTTTCTAGGGGTACCTTCCCCATTCTTTCCAGGGATCCTTCTTTCTAGAAAACCTCCGGAAACCCAGGGAAAACGGATCCGGTTTTCGGAAAGAACAATGGTCGAAAAGAATGGAAAAGGAATCAACCCTAGAGGTTTCTAAAATCCCAATCCCCACTAAAATAGACTAAAATGGGTGGTGCACTCGGTGCACCATTCCCCAAAATGGGATCCCAAAACGGCTTTGACCCAAATTCAAGACACCGAACCTCTGGTTTCGCGTAAATTCGAGGTACTGGTCCTGGCAGGGCCAGCCGCAGAAGATCCTCCCCTGGTCTATCCCGCCGCAGCGGTGGCTGAAGCACCTCGCAACACGCGGTGGCCGCGGGTTTGGGGGGGGGGGTGATATGGGGCCCCCCCGAATTGGTGGAAACCAAGAAACCCTTCAAAGGAAGACCAAAGCGCGTTGGTGGCGAAATGGGTCAAGCCAAGAAAGCCTTCAAGGGAGAACCCAAAGAGCCTGTTTCAAGGGTTGGTGACGAAATGGGTGTGCTTTTCATGAACCGCAGGGAAGCCAAAAGGACAGCCCACCCCATTCTTGGGTTCCCTGATTTTGTGTGTCACCCGAATTGGTTGGAAGGAGTGGACCACGGCCTAAGGGGGTGCACAGCCCAAGCCTGGTGGGTGCGAGGGGTTGGGGGAAGGGCCTCGGAGTTTAGTATGGGTGGAGGGGACCCTGTGCTTCCATCTTCACTTTATCAAAAAAGTTATTTCTGATTTTTTGACCTTACAGAGCAATGGTGCTGGCTGGTAAATTATTTTTTTGTGGCGACCGAAATGTACATGGAAATTTGGGGTCAATCTGCAAAAGTACGTTGCCGTGTTTGAGGAATAAGGGATCCCTGAGATTCAATGCTGGTTTTCGATTTCCTTGTTTCCAAAGCCAAAGAAAGGTTCTTGGAAAGAGGCTACCCAACCAAACCAGGACAGGCCCCAAACAAAGGGGGGCTTTGGTGCGACTTCCAGGTGTGTTGCTGGCACGGCGCCGACAATGGGTTGTGATGAATCCGAAGACAAAGATTTGGAACCTGTTGGACATGTGGTTTCGACATTTCATTCCTTGGTGGTGGCGTTTTGGGCTTTTTGCGACATGCGAATCCGGGGGAATCCAACCACAAATCTCCAAACCTCCCAACTACACCTCTACACACCACCCAACCTCCATTCAACCTCTCGCCTGCGTCTTTTTCGACACTACCCCTCTTTTTCTGCGGGTTCTTGCCAAAAAATGCGGTTTCTTCGCTCTTTGCGTTTTGTGTTTTCCACCACGAAAGCACCGCCGAGCGCCGAGCCGCCCGCGTTGGGGGGGGGACGCGCCTGAGGACGGTGGTGCCGGTGGCTCTGAGCCAGCCCATCTCCGCGGCTCGGAGGGCGAGGTCGGTCGATGCGCTTCGGAGCCGACGGACTCGTTCTTAAGATATATATATATATATATATATAGAGAGAGAGAGAGAGAGATCCCCCGAAAATGACCGTGAACGAGAGTTGATCTTTTAGCTGTTCAGTTATTTACTTACTTAATTGAATGATAGATCCCCCTTTGGGTGGTCGTGAGCAAGATTGCTCTCTTTTTTTTCCCCGATTAATCTGTTATTTACGTAATGAATTCATGAGTTAAGTTTACATCATTAATTCATGCATTAGTTCATTACTTCACCAATTGACAAGTTGTCTTGTTTGTTATAGCTCGGAGTCTTTTTTAGGTTCTGACTCCGCCGATCCCTCATGCAACCTTTGCTGAAGTCCATACCTTTGCCACCCTTGATCTTCATCTGGGTGCTGAATGAGAGGGGGGATTCAACCACCTTTGGTGGAACCTGCAACAGTTTGGGTCCTTCTGACGCTGTTGGTGCCTCAAAAGAAACCACTGTTGAAGATTCTTTTAGAATCTGATTTTGGGGTATGTCAGCTATAGCAGCCGATTCTTCAATAGAAGGTCTCTTTCTAAAGCTCGCGGCGGTTTTCAAGAACCTTTACTTTTTCCAGTATTTCTGGTGGTCAACACACTGTTGTGTGCTAAATGGCAACGTGCAAATGACCTTCTTCTTTTTTGTTGCAAGAACGACATTTGCATTTGGCCATTTGGGTGTCCTTTCTTCAGAGTGCTCTTGGATGGTTTTAAAGGGACGCTAACAGGAATCCATTCTTCTTCTTTTTTCTTTTTTTTGGGGGGGGGGGGTTGAGACAAACCCATTTGGTTGGGCGGTATGCAACAATCTTTTACCTTTTCCACCTATCTGTGGCAGACCCTTCTGAGTTCTGTTTATCTATATTGCTTTTCAGGTGGTTTTCAACAACAATGAATTGACTTTGGATTCTAGTAAGGCTACCATTTCTAAGTCCAAACCGTTCTATCCATGTTGGTTCATTCTTCTACCTTCTCCAGCCCGGGTTTGGGTCGAATGGGCCGAGGTGGTCTTCAACAACAAGGCCATGGTCTACGCGGGCGCCGGGGTCTGCGCCGTGATCGGCACGCTGAGCCCCGTGTGCACGGCTCTGCTCTCCAGCTGCGCCGGGCGCCCGCTCACCGCGCCGCGCTGAGTCGCTGAGTCGCCGCTGAGCCGCTGAGCCGCTGGGTCGTTGGATGGAGCCCATGGAAAGGCGGCCGGGGTTGGCCTCCAAGGGGCGGTTTAAGACGCGCACCTGAAACAAAGGGGCGAAGAAGGCAATTTAAAAAAAGGGGGGTTAGTTTGAAAAGGAGCGCGAAAAGGTGAAAAGGGAGTTGATCGAAAGAGTTTTCATAAACCATTTGGGGTCAAGGGAATCTTGAGGCATGCCAAAGGTGTAAGGGGCATCGTGCCGTCAAATACGGAACCTGGGGAGGTGGTGGTTGGGACTATTTTCCTTTGAACGGTTTCCTTTTCCTCCTCTTGGCACCAGCCCCCCCCCCCGGCAAAAAACACCAACACATTTGTTTCGCAAGAAGCACCACATCTCTTTGTGGGGCACCAGCAAGAACACGCACCATTCCCGCGCTTCCTTCGCCTTTCTTTTTGGGGGGGGGCCTTGTTTCTCCCCCGGAGAAAATATTTTTATGGCAAAGCAGCCTGGCCTTTGGGGGTCTGAGGTGCTGTCCTGGGGCGGGGTGCTGGTGGCCTTTGTGGGCGCCGCCACCATCTCCTGGGGCGAGATCACCTCAGCGCCTCGAATTCGCGCCGTCGAAGTCGAGGGAGGGGACGCCAAAGGATTGGGATGAATGGATTACGGAATGGCACGGAATGGCACGGAATGGCGCGGAACGGTTTTCTTTTTTGGCTTTTTCTCTTGTTTTTTCGGGGGGGATGAAGGTTGGAAGGGGGCGACTCTTGGATTTATTTGGTAAAAGAAGAAAACGACATGGGTATGTCCACTTGGCGCTCGATTTGGGACTTGTTTCGTGGGCTGGAAGAAGCCTTCAAGATGGTTTCAACTACTCCCAGACATATAGCTACTATATAGCCCCTATACAAAGGTAGCATACCCCACCACACAAATTCATTGGTCTTCACAATCAATATGGATGCTCGGGGGGGCATGAAGCCTTGAACTTGTTGGGACCCGATGGCTTTGGATGCGAAGGAGGAAAGCGACATGCCGTATGACTTTGGTGGGAACTGACCACCGCCCTGGTCCCTTGGACACTTGGACGGTGTTTCCTATGTTCCCTTGAGGAAACCAATTGAGGGCTGATGTCCTGTGGTACTTGGTGCTGGTATTGCAACTTCCTGAGAGAAGCCATACGTTTTGGCGAAAGCGGGGTTGTCTCAGGAATGGGGGAACCACAAACTATGGGTCCCCCTCAAACAAAGCAACCCCAGAAAAGGGTAACCCCAAAAAAGAGTTGCCCATGTGGCTAGACGAGGTACACGACAGTATCAGAAAGTTCCCGCAGGAAGTCGGTTGAAAGAGCTTCCAGCAGATCCCCAGACCCAAGCCGCAGAAATACAACGCAGGCCGCCTTCCGGAACAATTGGCCCTTTGATTCACTCCTCACTTGGGGGGTATCCCCGCTTCTTTCCTTCCTTCGAATATCTTACAGCAAGCCCAGCTTGTGCTGTCACGTGATTTGGGTAAGTGTCAGAGGTTGAACATGCATGAACGAAACAGCGCCTTTTCTGTGCAAAGCGAGGGGGTGGATCCTCGAGCTCCAGTTGGAACCCGGTCCTCAGATGACTTGGTGAGGATGCGCGGTTTCATGTGAATTGGTTTTCTGGGCATGGAGCTGTCTCGCCTCAACCGGCGCCTGAGGCTCAGGAGAAGGGCAAGTCGCAGATCGGGCAGGAAGCGCTGAGCGGCGAGGGAGGGATGTGCTGAGCGGCGGCCTTCCACTCGTTTTTTTTTTTTTTTAATCGCCCCGTTTGGTGGGTTCCGACTTGCTCAAAATCTGCACTTTCCCTTGCATCTGGGTCCAAGACTTGAGTCCCAACATGCGCTGGGTCCCAGAATCGGGGTGCATCAACGGGAGGTTCCGGCGCGTGCCTGACATGGGAGCGGGCGCCGGCTTTTTGGACGCGTGCATTTCTTTTTTGGGGGCGAAGGGTCTGATCCACGTGCTCAAAACCCGGGTAGATGAAGGCTAGTAGGGGAGAATCCCAACTGCAAGTAGCTGCGGGAATCCGCCTTCTTAATTCTTTACATGGTTCTGGGTAGACCATTTTAGTACCTGGTTTTGATTATGACTCAGGTTTCATTTCTTCCATGGACGCCAAGCAGAAAGGTGTTAAAATGGTGGGTCCACTGGCCAGTTGGCGACATACCCAATACCCAAATACACTCCAGTTGGCAAATGGCCAAATCGTGATACTCATTGACGCTCGATTGCGGAATTGAGTGCGCAAGAGCTTCGCTTGGGTCGATTTTTTGATTGGCCCCTTTCTTAAGTTGGCCGTTTTGGCCGGAAGGTAGCTTCAACTTCCCCCACCATTTTCCAGCTGGCACGTGTTCGGGAGGGTTGAAACATGGCACACCATTCGAAGGGTGGAAGGCGGACGCCTGGCCGTTTTTTGGGTTGGTGTATGTTTCACAAAAAAAGACTCTACACACACAACTTTTTTGATAGTGTACCTTTTTTTTGGTTAGTATGCCTCTTTTTGGGTCGACTTCAGATGTGCCGCTTGGTTTTGAGCAGTCCACGTCGCTTGTGATATAATCTCAGTCGGAATGTTTTGAGATGATCCTCAAAGGGGGCCCTTTGACATTTTCCCGAGCATGTAGGTCTGTGTTCAGCCAAACGGGCTTCGGAGCACCATGCTCCATTTGGCTTCCCTTTGGGCGTTTGATTTCCCTCCAGCAGCCTTTGGCTGAAACAGCGGGACAGAGGCAGGGTACAAAAAGCACCGCATTTACAAGGATTCAGATCTCTTAGTCAGCTTCTGATTCTTGACCAATTCGCTCGAAACCAACAGGAAACCAATCAATTGGGCGCTCCCCGTACGTTGGGGCCGATAGCTTGGCGGCTCTGCGTTTTCAAATCGCGAGGGCCTGATCTACGCCTTCGCGTCGCTCACGGGGCGCTGTGCGAAGATCGTGATCTTGGACTACATGATGGCCGGGGCACTCGGAGTTTTTGGAAGCCTTAAGGCCGAAGCTTGCGGAGTGTTGACTCAGCGTCAGCGCTGGCTCAAGACATCTACGCGCAAGCGCGTGCGCGTGCGTTCCAGGGAATGCGTTCGAGCGAGAAGGGCGTCTTTTGCACAGTTGCAAAGAGCACAGCAGATGTTCTTGAATTGGCCCGGCTGATCCCTTTGGATTAACCTCGCTTCATGTGGTGGCGCAACTGGTTGCCAGCGCCCTGCAGTGCCGGAGGGCACAGCTACTAGGCTTGCCGGTCCATGGCCTGCCCCACGGTTTGATACGTTCACCCACCGAGCGCTGCGAGCTTTGTGCTGGACGGGACGCTTCGCCATGAGTCAAGGTTCTTGAGTTGAAACCGGTGAGCCAATCAGTTGGCGCAAAGCAGCCGAAAGTGGTCCGTTTGCGCAGTTTGCACATTTTTGAGCATGCAGTTGATTTGGATGAAGCGTCGTCATACTTTGACAAGCAGAACAAAGCACGGCTGATAAAACACGAACAAGTGAAGCCTATCATCAACGGAATCGACCAAGCAAAGTCAGGCATATTTGCAAAGATGCTGATGCTTGAGCAGGCGGGTGCAGCGAGCATGAACGACAGCACAGGAGCCTTGAACCACAGCGCATGAGAGCAAGGGTGGGAGTTTGCATTAGCGAGTGGATGAGTAGAGCCCACGTGCGCGCAAGCGAGTCACAATCACAAGTCAATTTCTGCGGATGCGCCATGTGAATCGTGAGTCGAGAGTGAACAACGCCTGTGGAATCCCCTGTGATAGCGCCCGAGAGCATTTAGGTTTGCACCGCCACGCACTCTGACCCCGTGGAGGATGAGAGATCGGTCACTCTGAGACCAACGATGTTTCGCAGCAACATTTTGCAACCTGGGGTTTGCATGCGTCTCTAATGCCTTGCACTTAGGGTGACCTTGCCAGCTTCTGGCACTCAACGCAGTCGGGCATTTGCATCGTTCAAGGGCAGTTGCACCAGAGAGTGTGTGCCTGAATGCACAGATGCCGGAGCCTTTCTCGTGCGCCTGGAGTCAGGCGGCGTTTCGAGCTCGCGGCCTTTGACGCTTCAGGGTTTGAAGAATTTGCCTCGAGCTTGCTGTGGCTCTGCTGACCCGCTGTCTTTGTCCATCTGAAGAAACTCTTGTGAGCTTTCAGGCTTTGACCATCGCTTGCCGCAGTCTGCGCTTCAGCGGAGCGCATTTTCCGTGGATGGAGGGGCTGTGCAAACATTTCCGCCAAAGCATGGAGCTGTTTGACTCAGAAGGAGGGGCTGTGGTTGTCCACAAGCTCGTGGCCGACTCAGCGGCAAGTTTTGGCAAGCAGCAGAGCTGTCCTTTTTCTTGTGGGGAAAGCTTCAGCGTAGGAGCAAAAGCAAAGAAGCAACACGGGGGTACTTGCATTTCGCGTGGACCGGCGTGAGCTATGACTTGGATTTATAGCTTTTAAGCTAAATCAGCTAAGTCCGCGGTGAGACAACTGGCGCTCAAGGTTTTTACGTTGCTCAGAGCGAGCCACTGATCTTCGCAGCTCAGATTCCCGAAGCCCAGTTCCCAAGTCAGGCCACTTGCCGCGGTGCGAAAGAGTTGCGGGGATTCAGAGCCACAAGTACCATAGCAACATCCAGTTGGCAGTGCCCTGTCCGAGCAGCTGATGCTCCTGGCACACTTTTCTGCATGGGCCTCTCCTGCCCGAGCACCTGATGCTGGCCGAAACCCCGCGTAGCTCCGTGAATGGCAGATGCCTAGCCAGGGCGCATGCTAAGAACCCGCCAGCCCGGCGCTTTCTGGGAGTCTTCAACCTCCGATCTCCGAGGCTGAAACCGGCGTTCGCCTGGCAGGGTCGGCGCTGAGGGCACATAGCGCGCAGGAAAGCCCGAAGCTTGTGTCGCGCGTGCTCTGGCACTGGCATGCAAGATGAGTGCTTGCTTTTGAGAGTAAGCCCGCTGCGCTGAAAGCGCGTCTGTCATGAGTTCCAAATGAGAAAAGAACGCCGCACCCAGCCGAGCCTAGAGAGCCTAGCGAGGCAACCCCGGCTTCCAGCCAGCCTGAACTTCCACGAGACTTCGGCGCTGAACAGCCTGGATCCGCACCGAGTGCTTCCCCAACATGTGATAAGAAATGGCTGTGGGTCAAAAATAGGTGCCCAAAAATGTAACTCTGGTAAATGGAACCAAAGGCTGAAACCTGCCGCCTCCTGGTGGAGAAATTCAGATCCATACCCAAATTGGCATTTTTTCCGGGGGTTGAAGTGAAATGATTAGCTTGTGACCGACCCGTGCGGTCATCTCTGTGCGCCGAGCGTGAGTGGCTGCTTTGAAGATGCGCTTTGGCATGTGCGCGCGGGCATCATAGGTGTCCTTTTTGGTTGTTTTGCTAGGAAAAATAGATGGCCCTGGTTTACCTGCCATTTACAACTCTAGTTCCAAATCTGTGTGTGGTTGGCTATAGAGACCATAAATCTTTTGTCATCGCAGACATCTACCAGGCACATCCATGTCTGCGAAAAGGACACCAATGGCGGGGATCTTCGTGAAGCTTGAGGCGCCCAGGCCTCGCCCAGGCCTCGCTCCGGCTTGAACTCCTAGATCGCGGCTTGCTTGGCTTTCTGGCCCCAGCTCTACCGTAACGTGTTACCTTGGACACAATGCAGGTACCAAGCACTCAGCCTCGGACGAAGGCCCGAGCCTTGGCTCTAAGGTTCGTGTCTCCGAGCGCCGTCTGCCTCAGCGCTTGGGCGAGGCCCGGTGCTGGCTTTGACTTGTCTCAACTCAGAGGTCGCTTGCAGAGCCTCGACAAGTAGCTTTTGACCAACGTGCTCCGGCGCTTGTGTCATGGATGGGCGATTGCTTCGGAGAAGTGGGCTGTGCCCAAACGGCTTCTACGCGCTTCTGAGTCAAAGGATTTGTGTCAAAGCAAGTCGTTCATGAGTTACGACTGGACTGATGCGCTCCCAGCCCGCTGCCCTCTTGGCTCTTGCGTTCGTGGGCTCGTGGCTGTCGCTCGCGTTCAGAAGTTGGCACTGCCAAGGTTAAGGCGCGATGATTAGCTTCTGATCACCCATGCGATCATGCGTGTGCACTGTGCAGCGTGCGTGGCTGCTCTGGAGATTGGATGTACTTTGGTATTTGCGTGCAGCCTGTGCGTTTGGCGACGTGGGGGTGGGCCTGCTGAGTTGCCCAAGCGAGCCAAGTCCTTCGCTTCATGGCAAGGGCTGGCTCATAGAGCTGCATCTTTGCCGGGCGTGTGCCTCACCTCGTCTGGGTCCCTCTGGCTTCCAGCGCTTAAGTTTCTGTAGGGGTGAAAGGTCAAGGGAGCTTTGGCTCTAAGCTTCGGCATGTTTGGGCACGTGCCTGAGTGCAAGCAGGTGAACTTGTAAGGTGGCCGTTCTTTCCGCAGTCGTCGGGCAGTTGCGCAGAGGATGGGCCGCTTGCTTCAAGAAGCTGAGTCGAGGCCTTCCGTGAGAGGATGTGCCTGGTACTGCCTGGCCCTGGGCCAGGTAGCCAACACCTGAGGTGGGCCATGGGCTCGAGCCGCGAGCCCCCCGCCTTCCAGGAAGCTCCCTTGGTGCATGGCCTTGAGAATGCCAAGTAATCCTTAGAGCCCGGCGGGTCGCGATTTTTTCCTCTCAACCCCAACATCACCCCCTTTGGGGTGTAAAATGAATTCTTTCATGTCTGGGGGAGCTCCCTTTAGGGCGCGCGACGCATCAGCCGCCTCCCGATCCCGTCTGAACCGGCTCCAGGCTTCTGGCCCTCGCCGAGCAGAAATTTTGAGGCGCCGAGCAGACAGTGGCTGGTGGGAGCTTCCCAGCCGCGGAGCTTCCGACACGCCGTTTTTTGCCACGCAGTTCGGTGGAGCGGGTGCTGCGAGACGCCCTATGGCGCCTGATGCTGACGCGTCTTGGCCCAGGAAGCCGGGCAAAGCGTTCGTGGCAGCGCGCGGCAGGTGCTTGCTGCTGGGCAAAATGCATTGAGTAGCTTTTGACCCATGCTGTTTGGCAGCTTGCGTGGAATTGAGCCACAATTTTTGGAGAGCAGTTTCAGAGAACTGCAGGCTACACCCTTGGCTTCTGAGTCCAAGCGTGTGTGTCAAAGCCCGTATGAGTTACGAGTGAGCAGGGAACCAGACGCTGCGTTCCTGAATGCGAAGATGCACGTCAAAGCCTTCCGTGGGCGAAACGCACGAGTGGCTCGCGCGTAAGACGCCCGTAGCCTTTGACTCGTCAGACTTTGCCACAAGCCTAGCTCTGCTATACTCAGCAAAACTCACCAGCGGGGGCTTCCTGTGGGCAGGTCGTTCAGTCGGAGCTCTTGCAGGGTGAGCTTTGGGAACTTGTAAGCCTTTGACGGAGAAACGATGCTGCGGCCTCTGGGCTCAAAGGTATATGTCAAAACGCTGCCCTGCCGGCCGGCCGCTGAGTCTTGCAGGCAGTTGGTAGCTCCAACTCGGCCTCAACTCCCCCGAGCTGGCGTTCGCTGTGCTAGATTCAGTGGCCCCGGTTTGCTGCGCTCTGTTGACCGCCCACGTCTGGCGCTTCCGCGGAAGGTGAGCCATTGCTTTAGGCAGCGCCCTCGTGCCAAAGCACGTCTGTCGTGAGTTAGAACGCAGCAGCGCACAGTCACTTCCAGGCGGATGCCTTCTTACGAGCACAGGCTCTTGCATTTGTGAGGAAGTGGCTGCGAACTCGTTTCTGGAGCTGGATTCGGCTGTTCTATGACCTCTCCGGGTGCTTCCTCAGCACGGGTTTATAAATCGGCATGATTGCGGGGGTTGAAGCGATCCGCGTGCGCCGAACGTGAGTGATTGCTTTGGTGCTGCGGCGGCGATTTTCGTGACGAGAGCAGGCCGTGAATACTGAAGTGCCCAAGTGCAGCCAGGCGTTCGCTTTGTGGCGGTGCCTGGCTCTGGCGTCTGCAAGTGTGCGGCCCGGCTTTAACTGGGCCCAACTAGCCAGATTTCTTGGTTGCTTCTTCGAGAGTTGGTCCGAGCTTTGCCCTACCTTCTGGCATGCTGGTCTTCCCACTCGCAAGTCGGCAGTTGGCTCAGGAGCTCAGGATCAATGGTAGGTGAAGGAACTGAATGCGGACAGCTTCGCGGTTCGTATGCCCGTGCCGTGCTGGAAGTCCAGAAGTGTGCCGACGCGGGTCTGGCTGCTATTGTTCGGCTACGGCACCCGGGTAGCCTCGACTCCTGGGCTCCCCTGCAGGCTGTTTTGCTCGGCTTCGCCCCCGCGCGTGGCGTTCTTCACATGGAACAGCCGTGGGTCTTGATGCCACGGAGGGTCGTGTCGTACGGAGCTTCGGCCCGCACGCGAGTCGGCGCGCGTGCTCGGCGCTGCGCCTTGGAGCAAGTGGCCCAAGTCGTCGCTGACAGCTGCCTGCACCATTCGCTTTTGGGTGCCAGTCTGCCGCGAGGGCAGAGGGTTGGTCCAGGTGCACACTGGCTGCACCATGGGTTTAGCGCTCAACCGCTCAACCGCCCAGGGCCACCCTTCGCCAGGCTAAGGGGCTTCGTTTCGGGAACTAAACTTGGCATCGCTCCGACGCAGTGTTTTGGTTTCTGGCTTCGGGAGCTATCTGCCACTTTGAGCATGGAGGTTGGAGCTGAAGACGTATTGGTTCGTGCTGCCCAAACGATGTGAGTCAAGACACGTTGTGACTTGTTTCAGGAAGTTTGGATCTGAGCTTTGGCGCGCTCGCGAGTTTGGTTGTGACCCTCGCAATGGCTGTGCTCGAGGGAATGCTTCCAGGTGCAATGTCACGTGCGTTGCTTGCAACGCAACGCGCACGCAGCGCTGTTCATGGCGCGCGTTGCGCTGGGCGTGCAAACTGCGCACTCGCGCTTTCTTGCCGTTGCGCAGTGATCGCGCACGGCGCTGTTTGCAATTGGTGCGGCCCTGTTTGCAATTGGCGCGGGCAATGTATGGCAAGCTTCTGCGAGCGATAGCTCTTGCACCCACGAGTTTGTAGCCCCAGCCAGCCTCAAGCTCCGCCTCAAGCCTTGGCGGCTTGGTTCAACCGCTAGTCTAGTCACCTTGTACAAAACTAGCAAGAGAGACTTGCCCGGGTGTTCGCCATGCCAGCAAAGCAAGGGTGCGTGCAGTATCAGCCCATTCCGCCAACTCTTGCCGCGTTTTTGGGTCCATGGCTGCCTGCTCTACGCTCTTCCTGGAGTTCGTGTCATTGAAACCGAGCGGGAGTGGCGTCTTGATAAATGTTTCATGCCCACTTGTTTCTCGACATACAGGCTTGCAAGATTTCGAGCGCGCTCGCCCATGTTGTGCGTGTCCCGTGTTGGGAATGCGGGTTTCAGCGCATCAGCCAAGTTTCGTGAGTTGTACCGCCTTGCAGTACACAGACACGCTGGCAGCTCTGGACTGTACTCGACTCAAAAGCTGCCCAGAGAGCAACGCCCAAAGAAGCAGCGTGCCACCCAAGTTTCGAGAAGCTCATGAATCGATGCCAGTGAGCTCGAGGATGTGAGTGCCCCGACGCGCGGATGGATTGCGGCGATGGCAGTTTCGCGGCCAGTGAACTTGGTCCGAAGCCGATGCCTCCGATGAAGGCCTGCAGCCCGGGCCTGAAAAAGCGGAGTCGGGGAGGTTTTGTCCGGGAAAGAGCCACCTAGTTTCACACGCCTGGGTCTGACCCGAGAAGCTGAGCTGCGTCTTTGGGGCCGAGGTTTCCTCGGCTCGAAAACGCGCCTTTCCCCCTCTGGATGGCCTTTGGGTCTCTCCCGACTTGAAGCCGTGGATTTGGATTGGGGGCTCAGCTTGGAGCTTTGTTTGGGCAAGCCAAGGGGGTGGCGGTTTGCGGGAGTGAGGTGATCAGTGAAAGTCTTTTGCAATCTCAGAACGAACAGGGCATGTCCTGCAGATCACGGGTCCTTGACGGCTTTTGGCAGGAATCAAGGCAACGAAGATCTGGGGAAGTCTTGGCAAAGAAACTTCTGACCCCTGCAGATCAACATGGCCGTCTCCTTCCGTCAATTTGCGGAGGAGACAAACAACAGGCACCAATCATGGCAAGTCACCATTTTTTTCCCCAAGTGCGCCGTTTAGGTCCGGCATTTTTCCGGTTTCCTTCCTTTCACATGTCCAGGTTTACTCGTTCCCTTCGTGGAGAAGAAAAACAGTCGCTTGCTTCGGCTTCGGCTTCGGCTTGCTTTGGGTGAACCCCCAGGCGCCGCTGGCCTACGGAGGTCCGGCAGAAGGCAACGAGGAGGAGCCGCTGAGCGTCATCCACGTGCTGATGCTGCGGCTCGCTTTTGGTTTTGGCGCCGCCGAAAATTGAGCCGTGCCAAAGGGCAGTACGCCCCAAAAGTTTTTGTTTGTTTAAATGAAGGGAAGGTCCTCGACCCAAATCGACTCCCCTGGAAACTGACTCATAACACGGAAAAGGGGGGATCCTTGCTCCAAAAGGAGATTCCTCGAAGAAATTCGTCTGAAATCGGGCCCATTCTCAGCAAAATTTCCGTTTGCACTCTCAAGAGAAAACACGGTCTCAGGCCCGGGGTTCAGTTTCAGATCAGAGCCCGGTTTGGCCACCGCTCAAACGGATAGATTTGGGGCAAAAAGCCTTCTCGACTTGGTGGAAAAAGGCAAGGTTGCTTGGAACTCTCTCGCGCTTGGGAACCTTCATCCTCATCAGGCTTAGCCACTTGGCAACATCAATCCTTCAGCTCCTCCTTTCTCTTTCCGCCCTTTTTTGGTACTTTGCGGTCTGCTTTTTTGTTCTCTTTGTTTCAGTTCACCGGTCGCGGGGCCGTTCGCACCTCGACCTCGAACATCAAACCACCAAAGCTCTATCGTCCAGGTCCCCGTAAATTGGACATGGGTATGTGTCCAAATGAATCCACCAGGGGATCGCAGGTTTCAGTCCTTGTTTCCATGTACCAGGCTTCTATTTTGGGCACCTATCTTTGACCCACAGCCATATCCTTCTAAAATGAACCTTTTGGCTTCGCAAGGGCCCCAGCCACACAACGCGCCACACCCAGCTGAGGACGTACCCTTGGGGCGCCGTGCTCTCGCTCACCTACGCGCTCTGCGTCGGCGGGGAAAGCCCCCAGCCCGGGGCCCAAAGTTTGGTGTCTTTGAGGAAGCCAGTGGGCGATGGGTTTTGCTGGGCGCCAACTCATGACCGAGCGTTGAAAGGGAAACTGCTGAGAATTCGATTCGGCTTCCCCGCTCAAATGCTGGGCTTTTGATTTGAACTCACATAGACCAATGACTCGTGGGGGGGGGTAAACAAAGCACCCACTCCTGCAAAAACAGGATTCTTTCTTCCAGAAAAAGGGCCCGCCCTGAAAACACACACATGCTTGTCCACCAAACCTCCACGACCTAAACAACTTCACATCCATCCCACTCAACTTTTCATGCTGAAAAACAAAGACCCAGCTCCTCCCCGGCCCCACCTCCTCCCCCCCAAAAAATAACCCCCCCCCCCCCAAACCCCCCAACCCCCCCCCCCCACCCACCACTTTCGCGTTTCTCGATCGATTTTCGAGAGGCAGGCGTGGGAGCAGCTCACGCCGCAGCTGGCGGGCTTCGTCGCGCTGAGCTGCGCCTTCGCCTTGGCCCTGAACTTCCTCGGCACCTTCGCCCCGGGCCCCGGATCCGCCTCGGGGCTCGCGCGCCGCGGGACGGACTCGCCGCGGCGGGATTCGGCTTCCTCGCGTCGCGTGTGGGGTTTTCGGCTCCGAGGGAAGCTCGCTTGGGAGGAAAGTGCCTTCAACGGGGGAAGGAAAAAAACAAACACGGCCGTGCGAAGGAGGGGAATTCCTAGCGGGGAGTTCCGGGTGCTTCTTTGTTGGATAATTTGCCGGAGATATGCAAGCCAAGAAGTATGGCGGCAGAAAAGTAGGGCGCAAAGCATGATGTCTTTCTTTGGAGTTGGTACCCCCTTGTGGCTTTAAAGGGAAGCCACAAGGAAAGCCCAAATCCACCAAAACAAGACACACCCATATGGCGGCACATCAAGCAAGGCACAAGCATGAACCACCCTCCAAACTGGTGAAGGTTTCCTTAAATCTTCCAACACCGAAAGGCACACCCTGAACCGCACCCAGGCAAGGGAATGGTTGAAAGTTGAAAGCGTTCTTGCCTTGTTGGGATATTCCGGTTTGGGTCCAGAAGGGATCATTCTTTCCCATGGCCTCGTGCTTTTTTTGCCTTTTACATTTTGTCCGGTAGCTTTTTCTTTGGGTCGCCGGCAAAACGGCCCCAAAAAGCCGTCCGGACTTGGCCAAGCCTCAAGGCGGAAGGCCGTTGGGGTCCTCCTCTTGTCTTTTGGCGCACACCAAATGTCTGGCATCCTGCTTGGGGAGCTATGTCACCCCTGTCATTCGATTAGCTTAAGGCTTCAGGTTTTGATTGTGAAGCAAGTCAAAGGCCTTTCCTGGGTTCTGGGGAGGGGAGGGGCGCAGGAGAACTGCTCCTGGTACGACTCCCGCGGTTTGGTTTGCTCCAAAAACCCAAGACAAGGCAACGTCTCCCCATGCTTGCGCTTTTTGAATGCTTGCCCAAGTCGAAATGCCGAGCAAGCATCCAACAGGCCTGCTTCCTCCCATGCCATCGGAGTCTAGCTGAAAGCCCAGATGGTCGCAAGGTGGACGGGGCAGGTCCCAAAACTATGTGTGCCATGGTCAATGCCCGTTCACTTGGGGGTTGTGGAGATGGAAAGGGTCAAATGGGAACTTCTGATTTTGATTGGGTGTGCGTCTCCTTTTTGCTGTGGATTATTGGACAGGTTTGGTCTCAAAATTGCATTGGGGTCAAAGGTCATTTTTGCACCACCGGTAGAAGGTTTTTCGTCCATGTTTCCATTTCCCAGGGCAATCCATTTTGGGCACCTACTGTGGATGGATGAGCTCCAATGTTTCACCACCGTTCAGAAACCCTGGTTTCTGATATGATTCCCTGCAAATGCCCAGCAAACGTTCTGGTTTCCTTCCCACGGTTTCAATGTTTTCCGGTGGTGCGAGGCTCTGCGGGACCTCGGTGCTAGCGCCCAGCAGATTGTGGGCAAGCTTCTGGGAGAACAGTCGGGGGGAAGGGGGGGCGGGGGGCGGGGGCGGGGGGTGGGTGGTTGAAATTGTGGGTTGAAAGGAGGTGGGTGGCTTTCCCTTGAGGCAGAAGTGTTTCGAGTATTTCGCTTGAAGTGGTGGCTCGAAGTATCGGCCCTTGCTTGGAGAGCTGATTGGGGTTCAAGTCCGCTGGGGGAACCTGACGTTATGCCTCCAGTCCCTACCGCTTCAGTGGCTTGCCATGTGGACTGTCCAGTGTAAATGATGCGGGAGATGCAGCACTGTCCAGTGCGAAAATGCGGGTTATGCAGCAACAGGAGCCTTCAGTGGCAGGAGCCTTCAGTGGCTTGACGGTCTCAATGATGTGGATGATGCAGCAGCAAGACCGCTTCAGTGGCTTGCCATGTGGACTGTCCAGTGTAAATGATGCGGGAGATGCAGCACTGTCCAGTGCGAAAATGCGGGTGATGCAGCAACAGGAGCCTTCAGTGGCAGGAGCCTTCAGTGGCTTGACGGTCTCAATGATGTGGATGATGCAGCAGCAAGACCGCTTCAGTGGCTTGCCATGTGGACTGTCCAGTGTAAATGATGCGGGAGATGCAGCACTGTCCAGTGCGAAAATGCGGGTGATGCAGCAACAGGAGCCTTCAGTGGCAGGAGCCTTCAGTGGCTTGACGGTCTCAATGATGTGGATGATGCAGCAGCAAGACCGCTTCAGTGGCTTGCCATGTGGACTGTCCAGTGTAAATGATGCGGGAGATGCAGCACTGTCCAGTGCGAAAATGCGGGTGATGCACCAACAGGAGCCTTCAGTGGCTTGACGGTCTCAATGATGTGGATGATGCAGCAGCAAGACCGCTTCAGTGGCTTGCCGTGTGGACTGTCCAGTGTAAATGATGCGGGAGATGCAGCACTGTCCAGTGCGAAAATGCGGGTGATGCAGCAACAGGAGCCTTCAGTGGCTTGACGGTCTCAATGATGTGGATGATGCAACAGCAAGACCGCTTCAGTGGCTTGCCATGTGGACTGTCCAGTGTAAATGATGCGGGGGATGCAGCACTGTCCAGTGCGAAAATGTGGGTGATGGAGCAACAGGAGCCTTCAGTGGCTTGACGGTCTCAATGATGTGGATGATGCAGCAGCAAGACCGCTTCAGTGGCTTGCCATGTGGACTGTCCAGTGTAAATGATGCGGGAGATGAGCAGCCATGTGGACTGTCAAGTGTGAATGATGCGGGAGAAGGCAGCACTGTCCAGTGCGAAAATGCGGGTGATGCAGCAACAGGAGCCTTCAGTGGCTTGACGGTCTCCATGATTTAGATGATGCAGCAGCAAGACCGCTTCAGTGGCTTGCCATGTGGACTGTCCAGTGTAAATGATGCGGGAGATGCAGCGCTGTCCAGTGCAAAAATGCAGGTGATGCAGCAACAGGAGCCTTCAGTGGCTTGACGGTCTCAATGATGTGGATGATGCAGCAGCAAGACCGCTTCAGTGGCTTGCCATGTGGACTGTCCAGTGTAAATGATGCGGCGTGTTGCAGAACATGAGGCCGTCAGTGGCTTGACGGTCTCAATGATGTGGAAACAACAAGGTGGGCGCAAGACCGTTTAGTGGGGCAATATGGCGACAAGTCCAGTGCGAAAATGCGGGTGAAAGCTGAGTGGCAGGAGCCGTCAGTGGCTTGACGGTCTCAATGATGTGGATTGATGATTGCTACAGCAAGACCGCTTCAGGTGGCTTGCCATGTGGATCTGTCCAGTTGTAAATGATGCGGGGGAATGCAGCACTGTCCAGTGCTGAAATGTGGGTGATGGAGAGCAGCAAACAGGAGCCTTCAGTGCTTGACGGTCTCAATTGTGTGGATGATGCATGCAGAGCAGCAAGACCGCTTCAGTGGCTTGCCATGTGGACTGTCCAGTGTAAATGATGCGGAAGATGCAGCACTGTCCAGTGCGAAAATGCGGGTGATGCAGCAACAGGAGCCTTCAGTGGCTTGACGGTCTCAATGATGTGGATGATGCAGCAGCAAGACCGCTTCAGTGGCTTGCCATGTGGACTGTCCAGTGTAAATGATGCGGGTGTTGCAGCAACAGGAGCCTTCAGTGGCTTGACGGTCTCAATGATGTGGATGATGCGGCAGCAAGACCGCTTCAGTGGCTTGACATGTGGACTGTCCAGTGTGAATCATGCGGGAGAAGGCAGCACTGTCCAGTGCGAAAATGCAGCAACAGGAGCCTTCAGTGGCTTGACGGTCTCAATGATGTGGATGGTGCAGCAGCAAGACCGCTTCAGTGGCTTGCCTTGTGGACTGTCCAGCGTGAATGATGCGAGAGAAAACAGCACTATCCAATACAAAAATACGAATATTGCAACAACAGGACCCTTCAATGACTTGACTATGTCAATGATGTGGGTGATGCAGCAGCAAGACCCTTCAGTGGCTTGCCATGTGCACTGTCCACTGCAATTGATGCGGGTGATGCAGCACTGTCCAATGTGAATGATGCGGGTGATGCAGCAACAGGAGCCTTTAGTGACTTGCCACGTGCACTGTCCACTGTGGATGATGTGGGTGATGCAGCAGCAAGCTTGCCACGTGACAGTGTGCATGATGCGGGTGATGCAGCAACAGGAGGTTTCAGCGGCTTGACGATGATGTGTCCAGTCTGAATGATGTGGGTGATCAGCAGCAAGACCCTTTAGTGGCTTTAATGCAACACCAGGAAACTTGAGTTGCGTGGAGCCTTCAGTGGCTTGACGACGGCAGCGTTCAGTGTGAATGATGCGTGTGATGCAACAACAGGGCATCACTCAGTATGAATGATGCAGGTGATTGATAGTTTCTTGGAAAGGCAGGTGAAACAAGTTCCCGTGCTTTTCTGGAGACAGTGTTGGTGAAGCAGGTATCTGCCTTTTCCCAACAATCATGGCAGAAGACACCATTTTACCATACTGGAAAGGGGCGGTTGAAGTGCATCTTGCAGCTTCGGTTTTCCGCCTCTGAGATCAAGCGAAAGAACGGCGTGAGCGAAATCCTGAGGTGCGCCATATGCCGACCCTATGAAAAACTCCTTACGCTACGTGTATGTTGCTGTCTCAGTTCAAATGCAATTGGGCATGGAACGCACCAATCCGCAGCGTTTTCCGTGGATGCAGCAGACATATAGCGACTGTGGTGTCCTTGTCATCATGACAGCCTAGCGTTGAGGTCAACCCGAATCCCATGCCAAGAAACAAAAAGGACGCGTCACAAAAAACCAACAGCTGTGGGCGTCTTTCTGAGGTCAGCGCCGCAACTCGCCGCTTTTCCTATCGTTTTCTTGGCGCGTTGGTCGAATTTGACTGGGTCCCCCAGTAGTGCCCTTTCTCACCCTTTTTTTGGAGAGGGTTCCCCTACTAAAATAGACTACGGAAAAAAACAACAACATCGGGTACCCGTATTCTAACCTCTTTACTGGAGAACCTCGAAGATTCAGGTGTTTGTCCCAGAAACCCAACAACCCCAACACCCAACGACCAAGTTGATAGGAGTTCGCCGTTTTCCTATGGCTTTGGCGTCGAATTTGACTAGGAAATTCAGTCAGTAGTTGGCATGAACGTGTAGTTGTTAACCCATTGATATCAGGTGATAGTTTTTCTTTTTCCAATCTCCCCCCCCCCCCCCGTTTTCCTTTTTTTTTCTTGGGGTAGTTGTTAACACCTGAAAGTTTCTTTTTCCTTCCTCTCCCCCCGTTTTCCATTTTTTTCTTTTCTTCCTTGGGCGCGTTGGTCGATCAGAAGTTTGAGGCTGAACACCATCTGCCTGGCCTCCATCTCCGTGGCCTTCCTGGGGGAGGTTCTGCCGCTGGTGGTGGTTCTGGGCAGCGCGCTGGCGCCTGGGATCGACGGGATCCGATTCGGACGGATCGACGGAGCCCGTGGCGGCGCCCGGGGAGGGCGGGGTCCGCGAAATGCCTGGGTTTCAGGCGTCCGGTGGTGTGAGCCTGGCATTGGAAGGCCTTGGTTTGCTGGTGGTTTCTTAGGGCTACTCAGCTCCAGCGACCAAGCCACCTGGGTAATATGGGCAATGCACTCGCCGAACAAAATACTGTAGAATGGGGTTGCCCTTTTGCGAGACATGTTGAGACCTCTTTTGGTCATTGATGGGGTTGGACGAGTCGTTTTTTCTTCTTTAAAGCTCATCACATTTGACCAGTTGGATTAAGGGCCCTTCTCCTTTTGTCTCGGACACCAACTTGTTATCCGGATACAGGGGTCTGAATAATTACACGCAGCATTGTCCTGTCATGAGGTTATTCTGGTTTATCAACCCTAAACCCAATCTACTCGTCCAACAGCTCAGATCGTACCCTCTCACCAAGCAAGTTTGTGATTCGGGATCTGTGAAATCCCCTTGAAACCATTCAGCAAACGGCGCCCCCCCCCAGCAATCCATTTAGGGAACTTAGCAAGGGTATCAGTCACTTCCGTGACATCAACCACTGTTTCTCAGGTCAGCCCTGTGCTTTGGCGCAGAAATCTTTGACTTTTTAAGAGGGGCGAATCACCTACTGCGAGACGCACGAGGTCCTGCGGGTTTTCCTGCATTCTAAGTGGGACCATAGTTGAGAACAAGCTTACCCCTTCAAATCTGCCCTTGAAGTTTGGGGTTTCCTGCTTGTTAAGTGGGATCAAAGGCTGAAGATTGGCTTACAAGAGGGTTGGATCCTGGTTTGCCCCTCCGAATCCAGTCGGATCCCCGGAAGTTGGGGTTGGGGGGGGCAAGTTGGAAATGGGTCAAAATATCTACCCAAGCTGGGAACCCTGGTTTTCTGGAAACATGGATTAAACCCGTGGTCCCATGGTGGTTTCATCTTGGCCCACAGCCAGTTCACCCCGGCAAATCTGCCTTCGAAGTTGGGGCGGCGGTCAAATCCAAGCGCTCCGTCGGAGAGCCTCGCCCGAGGTCCTCGGCGGCGTCGCGATCTTCGAGCGCGGGCAGCACGAGGAGGAGGGAGAGACGGCCGCTCGGAGTTGGTTGGGTTTCCACGCCCATGGCCCACTTTCCATCGAAAAGTGGCGGTGGTGGTCAAAACCGTTTTGGGATTTGGATTTTGACCCATGGCCAAATGTCCCCGGATTCGTCAACCTGGAAACATTCTAAGCTCAACATCCCGGAGAAGTGTTCGGACTCCATTCATGTTGACCCCGGACCAATCCGGCGAGAATTTTCGGTCGGGTGTTTTTTTCACGTGACGGATATCCTCTAAATGACCCAAGCTACCTGGATTGGGGCCGTGTCCCCTTCTACATGAGGCCAAATTGGGAGGAGAGGAGGGGTGGGGGGATTTTGGAACGATGGCTGTGAAGCAAGGGAAAAAGAAACCCCGGGAAAGCGTTTCCGGCCGTTTGAAAACCGCCGTGGCCTGAAGAAGCAAGAAAAGCGAGTCGCAGGACTCTCCATGGCCCCTCTAGAACATGTGGGGAAATGGAACCCATTGGTTTTGGCTTGGTCAGCATCCAGATCGGGTCACATGGAATGGGGTAAGCATCCAGCTCGGGTGGAGGATGCAAGCCAGCGGCCCCTCAGACATGGAGCTCTCGTCGATTTCGAGCCTAAGGACAGCGGCACGGAGGAGCACGTGGAGCTGAAGCTGGTGTCCTGAGCCCCGAATTCGATTCTTCTCGGGGCGAGTGGAGGCCACGGATCACGTGAAAGGAGGCCACTCTACCCAAAAAAATCCGGGAAATCCTCGGATTTTCATGGGGGCGAGTGAGCACCTGTGGAGACCAACAGAGAAAAACAACCCAGGGAAAAAAATGCGGAGGACACGGTGGCGGTTTTGAAGCGTGGTTGGAACACCCTAAAAAATGGATGGACGGACATGTATTTGATTGATGTTGTCAGCCAAAGGGTGTCCCCCATTGAACATCGTAGCCATATTCGTTTTGGGTTGTCTGCCAGTTTCTTTGAATGGCCAAGGGAACTCAATGATGATAAAGCTCTCAAAGTGAATGATTTCATTCCCTTTTGCAACAACCCCCGCGCCCCAAGCGAGTGGACTCCAACATAGACACACCCATAACTCAAATCGGGATTCCTTTGCTCCCCTGCGCTGGTGGCAGAAAAGGAACCTAAGATCCAATCAAGCCTTTGGAGGGTGTGGGGGAATTTTGAGACCAACCAAAGACAAGACACAGGAAACAATGAAACGGTTTCCTTGTTCCCGGTGAAGTCGGAATCAGCAAGGAAGGTCGCACCGTTGCGCATGCTGACAGTGCGTGGAAATTAGGTTAAAAAAACTGTCAACGTGGGTGTGTCTTTTCCAAGGATACAATTTTGAGAATGTCTGAAGGGAACGCACATCCAAACCACCCAGTTTGAAGACACACCCATATCATCACCGACTGAAAGTAGCGAGTGATGTGTTGTGCTAGGCAGAGACCAATGATTCGTCTCTTATTGCTGCTCCATCCAAGGTGGACAGCAAACCTGCGAAAGAGTGGGTTTAGATCGCTTTTCGTGGGGGAAAAAGAAATGCAGAGCTACGCTTGATTTCCGAATCATTCCAGGTATGCCACGAGACATTTGTAAATTTACAAGGGTTTTTTTGGTTCTCTAGTTGCCTCATCTACAGGCGTGTCTTAAAATGGGGGAACCACGCAACATGCGTAGTTTTCTTTTGGTTCTCCTTTTCGGCTTAAGTTGGGTAGGATCTTGAGCATGTCCCTTCCAACCCAACGAGGCGGCAACAAAAAGATGGGCAAGAGCTGCAGGCCGGAGATCAAGCAACCATAGGTGTCCTTTTTGGTTGTTTTGCTAGACAAATTGATGGCGATTCCTGGTTTATCTGTTGGTTTGATTATCTACCAGGGCCATCTATTTCCCCTAAAAGGACACCTATGCAAGCAACCAGCGTCAAAGAAGTCCAAAGGCAACTAGAGCGGCGTGAATCCGACCCAACTCACAGGCCGTTTCAAGCTAGGCACACCAGCCACGCAAGCTGCAAAGGGAGCATCGAAAATGAGCTAAGTCCTTGATTCAGGGTGAAGCATATTTCTCAGTGCAGATTGGGTAGGTAATCCACCTAGTTGAGGTAGGCTTTAGGAAATTGCTTCCAAATGAGTTAGGTCCTTCTCCAAGAAATCACAAACTTTCGTAGATTCTCAGATCACTTTTGGATATACTGATTTCTAGGCAGCTATGCTGGACATACGGAAGCTTGACCTTAGCACACGTGTGCCTCAGCCACTTGGAGTGTTGCTAGTTTCGTTTTCACGCTTTCTTTTTGAGAAGGGCGCCAACTTGTTTTGACACACAGCCGACAGCCCAGAAGGTCGTCCGATTTCGCATGTCTGCTTAAGAAGCAAGACCTGCGCGTGTCTGAAAATAGGGGACCCAGCAAATGGTGGTTTTCACTTTTCGCCCCCCAATGGAGCCAGCCCCAAACAGTGCGCCCACGAAAGAGAGGGACCCTGTGGTGGTCAGGCCCGTGCCTCGAGTCAGCTCCGCGTTGGCGGTCGGTCCGCGAGTTGCGATGACTCGAGACAGCTAGATGCGTATGGAGCGAGCGCCTGAAATTCAGCGAGTCTGATGGTCGGGACAGTCGGGACGGTTTCGGATCGGTGGACGCTCGGGAGTGGTCATGGTGGTCGGGACAGGCAGCAAGTAGACTTTCTGCGACTGCCGAAATGGTCGACTTGTCTCTGGTTTGCGAAACAAATGCGCGTGGGACAGCGCGCTTGGCGTAGGGGAAATGGGCTCGAGAAACAACTTTACGAGTGAAGGTAGTGTCAAGTTCCAGATGGTGGATCGTCAGGATGGTCGGGGTTGGGATGGTGCACTTTTTTCTCGTCGTCGCTTGGGACGCGCTTTTTCTCGTCACTTGTGACACACCCGCTTTTGAGAAGTTCCGACATTGCACCGTAAGCCGTGGCAGGGTTTCGGTTGTGGAGTCATTTCCTCCGAGTTGCCTTTATTTCCGTGCACTTTCCCTGCAGTACTGCTTCATTCTCGCTTTACTACCCTTGAAATCCCACGCGTTTCCCCTTGATTTCTCTTTCATTTCCCCTTCACTTCCTTTTGTTTCCCGTCATTTCCTATCATTTCCTATCATTTCCTATCATTTCCTCGTCATGACCCCTTCATTTCCCAAGCATTTCTCTTCATTTCCAGTCATGCCCCTCCTACATCGCCCTTTGTTTCCGTTCATCCCCTTCACTTTCTATTTCCTTTCGTTTCCCCTTCATTCCTCCTTCATTTATTGTTCCTTTCCCCTTCATTTCGCTTTGAGTTCCCGTTCCCCTTGCACTTTGGCTTCCCGTCATTTCCGCTTCCTATCCCCTGCATGTGGTTGCATTTCCCTGCACTTCACCGTCAGTTCCCCTCCTCCATGTCCCTTTATTTTCCCTGCATTTCCCTGGCATCCCTTCATTGCAGCTTCACACTCGTTTTCTCTTCACTGTCATTTCAACGGTTTCGCCAAAAGGATGCAAAAAAGAATGGTGGTTCTCAGCCTGAGAAGAGTACTAAAAAACACAGTAGTTTTCAACGTTTTCGCTTGAGGCAGTCGAAAAAATAGAAGAAACAAAAAGAAGAAACAACTGTGTTTTTCAAGGCTTTTCAAGGTTTTCGGCAGGAGGAGGCGGAAGACTCGAGCCGGGAGAGGTGGCAGGTGATTCGAGCCTAAGACCTGTTTTTCTGCGGCTTCCGCAAGGTCAGGATTGTGGGGGTTGGGCAGGGACGGCGTGGCCAGGGTGGTCGGGACAGGCAGCAAGTAGACTTTTGGCGGCAGCGGGAAGTCCGCAGGCAGAGCTTAAATTGGGAGTTTTCTGCTAGCGCCAAGAACTTCGGTCTTAATCCCAAGAAACCGCCCATGAGAACCCACTCAGGGATCTCCAACGCGTTGTCGTTTTGGTGGGTTTAAGTTACATTCGGGAGTGCTGGGAAGGCCTGCCTGCTTTCTGGTCGGAGGTATTCTTCTGAAGGTAGTCCAAATGTATTCCCAAAACAGCGATAGCTATGGTGTCTTCAGCCCTCGGGAAGGTTCCAGGACGGTTGCTGGAAGTTCCTGCAGAAGTTCCAGGCAGGAAGGTTCCGGCAAGGTTCCAGGCGGCTGGTGGCGCCTCCGCTGTTTGCCGGCAAAGATGCATTGCGGCTGAGGCTGACCTGATTGGCAGATGGGGCGTCAGGTTTTACATGGAGATTGGCTCTTGCGTGTAGTGCTTAGCACCGAGAAACCCCCAAAGCCAAAGACGCTGGCAAGGCAGTTGTGCAGACGAAGCTCGCGGACGCTGAGCGGCTGTGTGGAAGCATGCCGCTGTGCGCGTCCACATGACAACAGCCCGCCCCATCAGCAGAGGCGCTGGATGCTGGAAGGCTCGGCGAGGCAGTTTGCTTAGACTTTTCTGTGTTCTTTGGTGTTGTGTAGCGCGACGAAAATCAGGCAAGATGCCGAGCAATATGGAATTCGGTCGTTGGTGGTGAAAATCGTCTGAGCGGCAGCCCTGGAGCAGGGGGGAGCGTCTCAGAAATGTGGTGGAGCTGCTGCGCGCAGGGCCGCAAAGTTGGAGGCCTTGCCATTGACAACCTTGGGGCAGGCGTGCAGAAAGTTGCTGAGGTGGTTTCGCAAGCTCAACGCCAAGACACGCTCACTGCTACACGATCTGCGAAACGCAGGCTGACCAAGATTCACTCCTGATGTTGGTCCTTGTTTACATGACACCATGTCGCGAAGCTGCCCAGATCATTCACGATAGGAGCCTGTTCGGACACAGGGTGTCCTTTGCAAAGAACCCTGCTGAAAAAATGGATTTGCCTAGCTAAACGTCATTTTTGGAATGCTGTCCTTGCTGTCCGCTGAGTTTTGGCGGTTCTCGCTGTGCTCGTTCCTTGCTGTCTTCGCTGTCCGAGGCTCAGTGGTTGCAAGCGGGAAGGGCCACCCTCCCCATCCAGACCTGCCCCAAGCGTCCCGACCACCCCGACCGTTCCAACAGCAATGAATCGTCAGATCCAGAACTGCGTTCCTATGCTTGGGCGCATTCAACAAACTACGAGCGCGTGGCTGCTATGTTCAAGCGTGACGCCGTCTCGTTTTATGCGGGTGATAGTCAGGACGGGTGGGATTGTCTGTTTCATGATCGGTCGGAAAGGGCAGTTTGGGTGGTCGGGATCGCGCATGGTCGGTCTGGAACCCGCGCTCTCGCAGAACCTGACTTGCGACGCATCCGTTTGACGTTCCACCGCGTTCTTCAGCACACCTTTAAAAGGATAGCAACCTGACAAGTCGTCAAAGGGGTTTTGTGACCAGGTTATTCTCAATTTCAGAGAGCTGCTCAGATGATCAGCAGAGGCATGAGAACTTCTATCCCTAGCCTCCAGAGAGGTTTTCAGATGCTTTCAAAAAGAACCCCTCCGAAGAAGAAAGGCGAGGAACAAACCAAGACCACGGACAGCGTTCCATGCTCTCTTCGCCACGGGTCGTGGGTAGGCTTCCCTGGGATACCTCCACTCAAAATCAGATGTGCAAAAATGAGAATAGACCAGGGTTTGATGAAAAAGAGCTTTCCTAGCCCTTCCCCGTGCAGGGTTGTAAGGTTTTCAGAATCACTCAAAGTCAAATGACAAGCGAAAAGATGTGAGCAGGTGAAAATGGACTAGAGTTTCATGAAAAAGGAGGCTTTCCTATCGATTCCCCGTTCAGGGTTGTAAGGTTTTCAGAGAATCACTCAAAGTCAAATGAAAAGATGTGAGCAGGTGAAAATGGACTAGAGTTTGATGGAAACAAGGAGGCTTTCCT